ATTTAGATGATGAGCAAGTGCCTAAAGAATGTAACAGTAGGTGCTTCTGAAGAGCAATAAGGAGAGCATTCCAGAAAGTAGGTTGTCTTGGAAAAGCTCCTCGTGTGGGTATTCTGGAGGTGACACTCTTCAGCCTGGTCAAGGTAAAGGGAAAAAGATTTGCCAGATCTCCCAGCCTGAAGTTGTCTTGCACTGTATATATGACAAAAGTAGAACCTTGAATCTGGCTTAATAATTACCAGCCTTGCAGTGGCTTCCACACTGATAACATATGTAAGTGGCTGCTGCCCAGTTGTGCAGTTTGGCAACTGTATTCTGCAGCTGCTGCAGTTTCCAGGCTAAGCCCAAAAGTAGCCTAGTAGATGAAGCCCCGTGTTGTAAACTAAATATGAAATTAGCAGTGTAGGACCAAAGTGAGTAGACTCTCTCCATCCAGGAAAAGTGGGTAGGCCAGGGTTCCCCAAAGTGGTCAGTATTGACCTCAAGGGTTGATAGGACTATCCAAGAGGTCGATAAATGTCTGGGATGATGGATGGTCAATTGGGGTCAATTAATCTTTTGGGGTCTCTGTAGAGCTCCATTCCAGTCCCTAGTCCTAAAGGTGAGGTGGCTAGTGGCAAGACAATGTTACCCAAGGTTGGATGGTCAGCCACCAGCAAGAGCGGCCTTGAATTTTCTCTATTATCATCATCATCATCATCATCATCATCATCATCATGGTTGGTTGCAAGTCAGCCAGATGTTTAAACTGGATTTGGCATTTTTGTCCACCTATTGAGTGGACTAATATAATACTATATAATAACAATAATTGGACAAAATTGTTATTATTATAATTATCATTCACAGTACTATTAGTTAAACTATTAAATTATTTTCATGTAATGTTTGGGGGTTGATGAACAATCTGAAACTTAAATAATTTATTTCTAATGGCATATGCATGTGTAAAGCAGTTTTACACATATGTACACACATGTTCTTCTGAAACAAAAATTTAGATCATTGCCAGTATATGAAAGGTAGTTTAATTTCATTCTGATTTCTTGATATTGTTTTGTGCCCCTTTTCAACTTTGCGTAGTGAGTGTTATAGTTTAAAAATATACTTATGGTTGCTACAGGAAAAGAACTGGGATTTGTCACTAAATCATAAACAGATTTTGACTAAAATTTGTTTCACAATATTCTAAAAGTTTTAGAGGTTGGATTTAAAACCGTGTGAAGAAAGGCCAATGTGATAAAGGATTTCCTGACATTCATAATTGTGCACAAATCTTCTTTTATAATATTTAGCAGTAATTCTCTGTATGAAAAATTATGAAAACCCACAAATTAAAGGGAGGGTTTTGCATATCTGGGGCAATTCCAAGGGATGAACGGGCAGATAATATTTTAATATCTCTTCTTCACTGAGAATCAATGAACCAGCGCACATGTATAGGTACAGGAAATGTCTACAATCTAGTGGGAATAGTCCAAGAATAACACCTATGCCAAAAAGGGGGGGCAGATAGCAAAAGTGAGAAGGATAATATTTTTGTTGAAAAATAGTTTCCCTAAGAGGAAGAAAGAAGAAAATAAATCAGGCAACCTGTTTTTCTCCATCATAGTTGGACTTTGACTCCAGTCTGTTCAGCCATTATGGCTAGAGGTTAGAAATGATAGGAATTGTAGTCAAAGGACATGTGAAAAGATATAGGTTGCCCACCCCATATAAGCATGGCAGGGTATGAGGAAGAGGGAAAGACAAATATAATAAAATTGGTTGGGGGAATATAGTGGGCACAGTGAGGGACATTTAGAGCACACTGGGGATATATTTTAGTGCAAATAACCTAAAATCAATCTGTGTGGTTGCTAGGAGTTGAAAACAACTTGATAGCACATAATCAAACTTACGAATAACAAGTAAAAAGAAAGGGAAGACTTAACTTGAAAGTATGAAACAGTTTGCCATACTATTTTAAAGGATCCTTTTGTCTTTGCTGTTTTTTATAAAAAAGGAAATATAGCAAGCTGATGTCTGGACTTCAATGCCCAGAATTCAATTCTGGGAATTGAAGTCCTGACACCTTAAAGTGGTTAAGATTGAGAAATACTAATCTAGTCCAATCTCCTGCTTGGTGCAGGATTGATTGATTGATTGATTGATTGATTGATTGATTGAATTTGTCCCCACCCATCTTCCACCAGTGGGGGACTCTATTTGCTAAAGCTTTTTGGGCAGATGGGTCTCCAGTCTCTGAAGGTCTCCAGTGAATGGAAGCATGTCACTTCACTGGTTGACAGCCCTAATCTTCAGGAAATTTCTTTTAATATCTTAATTGCAGTTCAATTAAAGTTCATATCATCAATATTCAAAATAATTTTAAGTTAATTTTGAGTTAAATGATTTGTATTTCTTTGGTAGGGGAACTGCAAAGGAAGATTGGCTTAAAGGTACTAGAAATGAGAGGAAATGCAGTGGTTGGCTATTTGCAGTGTTTCGATCTGGAGGGAGAATCTGGACTAGTAGTACGAGCCATAGGAACAGCCTGTACCTTGGACAAATTAAGTAACACACCTGTATTCTTACCTGCATGTAATTCCCCATCCAAGGAAATAAAGGAGTAAGTATGAGTTAAATGTTCCCTGGAAAGATTCTTTTGTGTATTCTTTTCATATTCATATTGTGTTGCATGCTTTTGTTTTCCTGCTTTGGTTAAATATACATACACCTGTCTTCCTTTTATGTTGATAAATTGTTTTGTATTGAGAAACTTGAGTAACTAAAATGAATGCTTTGACCAGATGTTGTAGGCATAAAGTACGGTGTGTCAGATGCCTCAGCTACGTGTGATTCTTGCAGTATGGCACAACATGCTGGTGGTGGCATTAGTCTGTTCTGCATTCCCGAGTGTTTTCTCTTCTCATTGTTAAATTGCTTCAATGGGATGCCTGTATTTGGCAACGTATTTTGCAAAATTAAATCCTGTAGGACTTCTGTTTTTAGTATTTTTATTCTGAATGCAGTTGCTGTACATGGACATAAGAGGAAAAAGTCTTCAGTGTAGCTCTAAGCTAATATGTGATAATTGAGCGCTATCAGGTTTTTGCAGCTGTCTGTAATATTTTCCTCTCTCATATTACTTAATTTGTTCTAAAGTTTTGCTGCCCTTTCACTTTAGTTAGTAGGCAGTTGGCCAACTCTCAGTTCTGTAGCAGTTCATGGAGTTCAACTTCTAGAATGAGCCAGGGAAATAGAAATAGTACTGTGCCAATCTGAAAGTACTTTGTTTAGGAAAGCTAAATGCCAGTGAGAATATATTACTTTATGTCTTGCAATTATATAGCCTTTTTCATTGAAATCTAAAGAGGAAAAATGGCTAAAAAGAAATATGAGATTATCTTAGTTGTGCTTACTGAAATGTTCAAATTATGTAATTTAACCAAGTGAAATCTATTTGTGGATGTCTCTTTTTAGGTTAGGAATAACCTTTTTTATTTTTATCCAAGGGGGCACCCATATAAATGTGAGAATTCTATTTAAGTTTTTACTTGAATGACCTAATCGCTTTTATAATAGTCTAAATCTTCCATTGATTTCACTTTGCATATTAGACGTTTATATTGATTAGAAATAAAATCAAGTTGGTTCAGTTCATTTCTCTGAATATAGATTTCAAGGATTACCGGGAGCTAGTTTTAGCTTTCCAGCTAAACTTTTGCCACAATTATAATTACATTTTAACCAAGTAATACTTAGCTGTTTTCTTAAGATTTGTCTTGATTCTTTAGAGCAGGGGTGTAAAACTCAAACGAGTCGACAAAGGCAGTACTCCTCTGTGTAGATTCCTGGAAGCTATGTCCATATATCTTATATTTTAAAAATCAATTAGGCTGCACTTTGCTGAATATCCATCTCCCAAACTCCTCTTCTTGAGGTTGAGGAGGAGGAGGAAGGTGATGTGTGATTATCTAATAACTTCTTTCTTCATCTTCTCTGTGTGATGGTAATTAACTCGTTGCATCCTTGCCTTAAGTATAAAGCTAACTTAAGTAGCAAGCTGGAGCCATTTCATAAGTGGACTGAATTTTCAGGAAACATCCCAATTTCCCACTTTTACCCCCTCACTGAATTTGGTGGAATCTATTAGAAGTACTGTGGGCCATATTGGGAATCCCCGAAGACCTTACGTTTGACACCCCTGCTTTAGAGCTTGCTCTTAACAAACAAGCAAACCACAGCTGCAACCTTCCAGTAACTAGAACACCCTAGAATAATTTTTAAATGTAACTTTGCCATTTTTTGTATGTATTTTTTCCTTTCCTTCGACCTTGGCTGCAAATTCTCTCAGGTCTCTGCTGGCTCATCCACCCAACCATGGATGTCGTTCGACTCACAACAGTCCAATTCACACTGCTACTGGCTCACGGCTTACTCAGAACTTCTCTGTGTCTGTTCCCACTCTCATCTACACTGGTACGAGACTGCTCAGATTCAGAAGCTGGGGAGAGACAGGCGGCAGGCACAGTGACAGGCAGGCAGGCAGTGTAGGCAGGTACCTTTTCTCCCTGAGAGTTGTTCTTCTCCAAATAAGTCCTTTATGTTCTTCTGCTAAGTCCGAGAAAATAGGAGACATTTTGGATATCTTCTGACCTCCTTTTGCTTTAGTGTGTGCCTATGTGTTTCTTTCTTCCTTTTTTTTCCCCCTTCCCATAATGAAATTTGCATCTCAGGTGTCTCTCTTGTAGTAGGGGGGAAAATGCATATTTTGATTGGGCTTCAGGCTCGATCATGATATTCTCAGAAATGGTTATGCGCAAGAAGTCTTAAACCGGACAAACAGGTAAGGCGATGCTAAAGGTAGCAAGAGATTGTGAGTACAATGTTATTGGTATGATTCTCCTCTTCCTGCTTTGTTTTTAGCTGTGGCACCCTGCAGATGCTAACGGATAAGGAAACAGTTTTTCTTGGAAATATATATGCGTGTTTATATATATCTATATCTATATCTATATAATATGTGTCTGTGTGTACATAAACGCACAGATATATAACCTGCAATCATCGCTTTGTTTTCTTTTGTAACAACCTGGTTCCAAAAACATACTGCATTCTTGCAGCCATGGTTTTGATGGGTTTTATGTTCTTGTTTACTTTTCTGCTTTTCGATGCTTTATGCTTTAGCTGTGGTTTTTGTTTTGCTGACAAGTAATGCCCATCTGCCTCCACGATGTTGTGCAGTTAACAGCCTTTGTTAATGCCTGTGGGCATCCTGATCTAGCTTCCCACTTCAAGTAACTCTTGGCCCTGTCCCATCCCTGCCCACATCCTGGTTTTGGGATCGTGCTGTGATCAGCCCGGTCCTTTGGCATAGGATCACTGAATATGTTTCCACCTTCTTCCGGCAGGATTCCTTTCAATGAAGATCCCAACCCCAATCCTCATTCATCAGGACCCTCCACCCCTCTGAAAAACCAAATCTATTCCTTTTCACCTTCCAAGTCCTACAGTCGACAGTCCTCTTCTTCTGATACAGATTTGAGTTTGACACCTAAAACTGGTAAGGTGCTTCCACCCACGTTATTTTCATTTGTTTGTAATTTGTTTTGCTTAATTTGTGTTGTTTCTATTTTAGCTTTTCACTTGCTGCTGTTTTTGGCATATAGTATCTACCTGCATAAATCTTTGAATTGTTTATTGAATTATATAACATCTAGATATCTTCTGCAAACTGACACGTAACAGGTACACTAAGATTATCCTAAGGAATTGTCTTTTCATTTCCTCCACATCATATTGCAAATTATGGGGATTAAAAGTCACCATAATATGTTTGGGAGATAGTCTACCATGTCTTTATAACAATGTACGAATAGATATAACAAACGAAAACCTTTCCTATATCAGCACATCTTTGTAACCAACTGAATAATGGCTGGTGGCTGTTTTTTGGGCTCCTTTGAAGATAAGAATAAGATATCTTTCATGTTAAAAGACTCTTCAAGTCCTGTTAGTGGGTTTTGCCTTTGATTTAGAAAACAAAATTCCATGTTACAGTTTTACCTTTGTCAAAACATACCTTAAGGTATGAGAAATCCAGTGCTTTTATATATGGAGTGCATGCATGCCATATTGGAAACAAAATGGAGCAGAATAACATCACTCTTTCATGTTGCTCTTTTACTCTACCAACAAACAGTTATTGTCAATCTATTAGGCAAGCCTTCTCTTGAGTGGAACAGAGAACCTGGATGAGGAGGTATGAAAAATTCCCAGGAAAAATAGATGTTGCCTTCCTTTCCACTAGCCAAGAACTGGGTGAACTGCAGGCTTCCTGAGAGAGAACTCTTAGCAATCCACACAGGGATCAAATGTTAGTAATCTCATCTTTCCAGCCTGATTTGAAAGAATGCCACCGAGAAATTAGTGTTGATTTCAGGTTGTGATGAGTCCTGTGTAAGGTTTATAAGGGGTTGGTAGAGCCTGTTTTGCTTCTTTCTCAATTATTCTGTCTCACGCACTAGGAGCACTAGTGAATATGTATTTAAATGCACTAGGAACATGTATTTAAATGTTCAAAGTATTTTTGAAGACTCTCCTTTGGATAGTAAACAGTGCTGAGGTGATGGAGGTAGGGAAAAGGCACAGTAGGTAATATCTGAACAGAGGCCTGTTCAAGAACTTTGAGAAACATTATCTGAACCATATCATATCTTCAGCCCGTACACGGGCATTGCGTCTTTATCTTTCTCCTTTAAAAAAAGTTTGCAAAAAGGTTGTTTGGCTGGTTATTTTTTATTTTATGTTTTTAGATAAATGTTAGAAAATGCCTTAGCTGTGAACAATTACTGTTTTTAATCCATTCTCTCCTTCTTATGCCCCTCTGCTTTTTAAAAACATTATTGTATTTGCAAAATACTATAATGTAGTTTATAGCATGTTACTGAATGCCGTAGGTCTTCGACACTTTATTTGATAGAGTTTTGTTCCCTTTAAAGAGATATGTTTTTATGAGGTGCTAATTTTCTAGAGGTGATAAAGGTCTGTGGCCAGTTTATGTTAATGCCAGTTTATGTTGATTCATATAATTGGATATTTTAATATATGGTCTCTTTAGAAAAAATAGATTTTCTCGATTGTTTCGGTTAGAGAAACAATGAAAAGAATTCTCAAAGCAGTATCTAGTGTTAGAATGTGCTACTATTAATGTGCATCTAAGATAATTATGTGTAAAGACTATACATCATTCAGGTGGTATCATTGCTTGTTAAGCTGAGTCATGGACCAATGCTGAGTCCCCATTGTCATCCACTCTGCTTTTCCCTTCCTATAAGCCATTAGGTGAATCAGGAAGTCTTTAGCTAACCATAGTTTCTCACTTTGTCCCAAAAGTGGGAAACAATAGCTAAGTATTTCTAAATAAGCCAGGATATGAAGCCATGGTTTATATTGGCTTCACTTCCTAGCTTAATAAAAAGCCACAATAAACTACTGTTTCTCAGTTCTAACAACAACTCTGAAATGAGGAACAAAGTGGCTGTGAGAAGGGGCAAGACAAAATAACAAGGTTTGTTCATAGCTCAGTTTGTTAAGCTGGGATTTGATTGACTAAATGCAGTCCCTCCCATTCTCTGCACATGTTTGCGTTTGTACTCCAAATGACAAATTTGACATTTCTTATATTTATTTTATGTATGTATGTATGTATGTATGTATGTATGTATTTATTTATTTATTTATTTATTATCTATCAAATTTGTCACCGCCCATCTCATTGAAACGACCTTGAGTGGTTTACAGAAGGGAAGAATTTTATTTATATGAAAGGGAAGAATTTTAACAACACGGTTGCACACATAATGCTAAAAATCTCACTGCCTTAACAGAATTTAAGTAAGCTCAGCTCATAATCTGCACACCCCTGGATGGGCAAAAAACTATACTTTTGCCTTCTTAAGACAGGGAGGACAATGCCACATTTTCTGCTCATTTCCTTCCTCAACTGTCTTAAATTTAATCTCATTCTCATCAAAGTTTCTTGATCCTTCTCATGGGCTGCAGCAGTAGGAAAATGGAGACAGCATCTTCCATAGGTACACGCATGCACGCAAACAAAGACTGCTTATTGTTTGTTGAATCCACACCTCTGAAAATAATTCCATGAGAATAATTCGAAGAGAACTTTAGACAGGAGACTCTTTCATACTGCATTGTTAAAGAAGAATTTCAGATCTTCTCAAGTTCTGTTTTGAATTACTTCCGAGGATCACTGTCATATCTTTTACAAACTAAAAGATAGGAAAGGTTGAAGCACTGTAAATCTGTATCTGGTATATTTGAGCTTTAAAAAAAGTCAGAGGTCCACTGCTAATAATAACTGTGTATTACAGATGGGAAATTTAGCTTTAGAGTTATCATATACAATTTTTCACTGATGGAAACTCAGAGTCTTAAAACTGAGAATTGTGCTTTACTTGCTATATTAACAATCTAATGCAGAGGTTGACTATTTTCTGAATTAAGATTCTGGTACTTACCCAAATGTATATATGTGGAGGAAATTGAGAAGAGGGGAACACCTTTATTTTTTTTTTAAAAAAATTAAGAAATGCAAAGTAACTTTTTAAAATTTAAGGCTTTGAAAGCGAGCTGCTCACATTTCCATCAGAAAATGCAAAATCCTTCTGCGAAGGGGAACTTATTTATTTATTTTTTTAATCTCATGGAAAATAGCTATTAATCTCCTGTGAAACCCACTCAGTTTTGCATAAGCTGGAAATTTTTTTTAAAAAAACGAAGCACACTTTCATTCCTTTAAAAGAGAGGAATAATATATTAAGGTATCACGTTGAATGTGCTCCTCCATCATGTCATATTTGTCATCACGTGAATTGTAAGTCGGTAACAGTTCATTCCTATGCTGCTTGCTGTCTGTTCTTTTCTTCAAAACCTGATTTTGCTTGATTCATTTTGCTTTTTTTTTTTTCTTTTCCTCTTGATTTCTTTTTAGTTCATTTCTGAAATCTACCATCTCTTCTCTACTGCTTTTCTCCACAGCACTTTACCCATGGGGACCCAGGATTTTCCTGTTTCCCAGTTCCCCAACATTATCTTGTGGTTCCCCACAACTTACACAGCCCCGTCTCCTTTGCTCTGGGTCTAGCTCTAACCCTCTTCGCTCTAGCCATATGAACCCAGTTCTGAGGAAAAGTATTTCTTTCACTGAAGAGCTGCTTCTGGCTGCTTCGGGTAGGATTACTCTTAAACTGCCTTGCTGTTTGGGTAGTTGGCATCAAGCACCGTCTGAAAGCTTCTTATGATTTCTTCACCCTGACCCGTTTAAATTCTGAAAACTGCTGGCTACATGACGATTATAGAATTACTCTGCCGGGATTGGTTTTCCATTTACTTTCATTTTTTTCAAAGTTTGAAACTAATTTTTTAAAACCACACACCCCAAAAAATCATCCTTTTTAGAATGCATTTTTAGAATGCTTTTCCCTCCCAAAGCTTTCTCAGATAGGGAATTGGTCTTTTTTTTTTTTTTTTTAAATTAATAGCCGGTGATAGAGCCATCCATTCCCGGCCATTTATCAATGCTGCTCTGTTTCAGTTGGGAGAAACGTTTCTTCTTCTTGTTCAGGTCATTTGTATTACTCTGTTGATCATCATGTGGCCACCGGCCCTGCTTTGTTTTTGTGTCTGCAATTGAAATGCCATTTTAAATGTTCAAAGTATAAATATATCAGTTTTGCCTGTCCTTTCACAAGGCTGCTTCAATAGAGGTAAACTTGGTTGATGCTGTTGACCAATACAGTTTTGGTTGTTCTCTTTCTGGGTGAAATATGTTGCATTTCCACAAACGGCCTTCATTCCATTTCTGTCTCTGATCTTAGTATTGTATAGTCCCTCGTCAGACAGATTCGACAGCCAAAAAGAAGAAAAGAAAAGAAAAAATTAAATTTACTGCATAATACAGAATGGGACTATATAGATGCTAATATTTGTTTCCTTATCCAAAAACAGCTAAAAATGGAGGTTTTAATAGGACAGAAATGACCAGTGATCCATAGACTTAAATTTAATCATGCAGTGGGATCTGTTTCCCTTTACATTGCTAGCATTTGCTAAGTTGCAAGTGTTTGCAGAGCATGAGGTGTCATTTCAGGGGTCTGTACAAAATGAATATTGTAAAAATGTGAAAACGAGTAGGAAATCTTAAAAATACCTGAAATGAGATAAATCGTTAATCTCGTCAGTTTAGCCTTTGTTTTTAAACCAAGCAGACCTCTGTAATTCCATCGATAGTACTGAGTTGCAGGAATATGGCTGCTTATATGTACAGACAGTCCCCTACTTGCGAACTTTTGTGTCGCAAACTTTCACCGCTACGAACAAGATGGACCCGGAAGTCGGGTCCAGAAGTCGGAACCGGAAGTCGGGAGAAGGTGGGAAAGGGTTAGTTTGCAGTGCGCCTTTCCCACCTTCTCCTGCCTTCTGTTTGCCTTGGAGTCGGAGTTCCCAGAAAGGGTTAGTTTATGTGGTGTGCTCCATTGCCGGGTGAGGCAGGGCAGTGGCAGAGGACAGGGGAGAGGGGGCGGAGGTCTCCTGCCTCGCCCGGCAACAGAGTGTGCCACGTGTGACTGACTTGTCCTTCGCTCCCCTCTACTCCGCTACCAGCCCCTCTCTTGCCTCGCCTGGTAATGCATTGGCAGCAGAAGATAGGGCTCCTCTGCCTGCACCGCTGCCCTGTCTCCTGCCTCCTCTCTTTTTGTTACTTTTTACTTGGTTGGACTTACGAACAAAACGGACTTACGGACAGCCTCTTGGAACGTAACCTGTTCGTAAGTAGGGGACTATCTGTACTTCAGATACGTATTATGGCCGTAATCTTCTGGCAGATAAGCATCAATGTGCTTTTGTGCAAGTCTTATTTCACTGAGGCTTGCCCTGAGCAGTTTGGGGAGAACTGAGTCTATGAAAAAGGACATTTTAAGAAGGTTAAGCACAATTGATCAGCATTGTTATAAAGAAGGTAAGGCAGCATTGAGCAAGTATGTCCCCTTAAAACATATAAATGTCTTGAATACTAGAGTAGATTTGATTAAGAACATACTAAGCAATCTTATGTGGGCTGTGAAAAGCCAAACTTTCTAATTGGTTAAACCACCGTGTAAAATAGTAATCCACTTATGTGCCCAATGTGCCTGTCCCTCTTTTCACACAAGCTGGTGTCCAGTCCTGGGATTTTTGTTGTTTCTATCGAGAGAAACAAGGATTTTTAAGCCAACAACAACAAAAACAGTTTAAAATCAGCATTCATCCTGGTTTGTGTGAGCATGTTAACTTGTAACCCTGGACTTAATCATCATACTAAGGTGTCCCCTACTAATTTGCTCACTTACTGGTTTGTGGATTAAGGGAAGTTGGAATTCTTTCCTTATTAGTTGTAAATGTGGACATTGAGTCTGATTAGGAATCCGTTCAGCTCAGTCTTGTTGATGGTGATTATCACTGGGTGTTTGGAATTTATGACACAAATCTTCCAGTTGGAGATACCAAAGACTGATACTTGGAACTGTACATTTAAATTAGATGCTCGTAACTGAGATACAACCTTTTCTGAATAAATTAAATGGAATTACTCTGTAAACATTAATGTGAAATGCCCTGAATTCCTTCACCATTTCAGCCTTAAAAATATATTATTTTACTTTATGCCTTTAAATATGTACGATTACAGCTTTTTCCTAACAGCTCTGTGGGCTTATTAAATTACCATAGAATACCAAATTTTAGTCCCTTGCTATGTCAAAACATCCGTCTATGTGGTCGCTAGAAGTCGAAAAGGACTTGGCGGCACATAATCATGTCAAAATCTTTGTGTCTCAGACTGCAGTGTGATAATCTCATTTTTAAATACTCTGAAATATTTAACTTCTGAATTCTGTTTGGGTTTTTTAAAAGTACAAATTGGACTGAGGAGAATAATCTTTAGCCAATGGCTTACTAAAGTTTACATCTAACATGATCACGTTTAATAGTTTTTACACATAAATCGTAGGCTGTGTGCGCACTAATTTTAATTATAATTAAAAAATTATAGCCTGCTAAATGAAGCTGAAGCTTATTTTTTCCCTACCAAATACATCTTTTCTTAAATTAATTAATACACAATTTTGGCTTTTTGGCTATCTCAGATTACTTTCACAGTGTTATCTATGTTTGCTAGTAATCAAACATGTGCCATATTTTTAATATAACTTCAGTGTAATGTCTATTAATTGTTTGATTTCGTTTTGATTTATGTGCTGATGTTCTGTAGGAATGGGAAGTGGTAGTGCTGGAAAAGAAGGGGGGCCATTAAAAGCTCTATTAAGACAACAAACTCAGTCAGCTCTGGAGCAAAGGGTAAGAAATACATTAAATCCTATTTTATATTTGATATATACCAGCACAGTTCACGTCTAATAAGAAGTAAATGCCATTGATTTCAGTAGGATTTACTTCTTGGAAAATCTGTGTAAGATTTCAGCCTATAGCTGTTGCTTTAGAAACACGCCTATATTTTCCTGTGTGTACTGTTTCCTTTGTTATTAAATGATTATCTTCCTATTGCAATTGTGACTTATATAGGCTGTCATCTTTTTTCAGACAGACAGATTAAATGTATATCCATATAGAGAAGAGATTTAGAACATGAAGATTTTTGTAAACTTGTACAATAAGATGTATGCTTTGTTTCTCATCAACCTACCTTTCTCGTATTCCTGCTTTAGTCAACTTTGAACTTAAGCAAAACCTTAATAGCGTATCTTTATGTGAGGAGGTGTATCAAAACAGAGAGAAGCTACCTTCCTCATACCCACCTACACACTTTAGTTTTGTATCTTTAATTGTACTACTATTTAAGCCTGACTGTTAGAACTGAAAACCACATTGTGAACAAGGACCTCACTTTCATCGGGTGAATTTCAAACCATTTATAGCAGGGAAATTTTACTTAGATGAAGAGATGTCTACCGAAAATGATATGCTTATATGTCACATTCCATTAAAATGTAGATTAATTTGAAATAAATAGCAGCATCGTATCCGTGGATGATTTTCTTTCCGTTTCTTGTGTTACTTATTGCTAAGGGAGGATCGTCTCATAAGTTCTGTAGAAGGCGGGTATGTTCCAATCACTGTGTGACATTTCTCTTCACCTCTTCCTATTTATGTTAATTTTATTTTGAGAATCGTTTTTCTACCTTAGAACTTTTATTTTAGGAATTTGGAGTTGCTTATTATTTTCTCCACATTCCTGTTAGAATTGTTCCTTTGCAAAAAAAAATTGGGAAAGCTTCCAAGAGCTTTTAAACCATCCAGTTGCTCCTTTTTTCCCCAATATTCCGCATGACTGTACGTTTCGTGTAACTTTTCATTTTGTTTTAAGTAGCTCATTGATTTAATTTTGTAATATTTAATTTGAAAGCTAACTAAGGAAAAAGTGTTGACTTTGTTGACTATCCTAATAATTTAGATGCTTTGTAGATAATGGGTTTAGTCTTTCAGTTGATCTGCAGTAAATGTTTTAATTCTTTAAAAAAAATGACTTTGCAGTCTGAGTTGTTAAATGTATATTCTTTGTAAGTCACATGCAATTGATATTTTATTTTATAAGAGATCTTTAAAAGTTTATGCCTTTAAAATAACACATGAAAAGCTTCTTCACAAATGACATGCATAGAGAATATGCATGATGGCAAGTTTGGATTAGCTTCATATTGTAAATATGATTTTATGTTTGCATCTGCTTTCCCCTGTCAAATCAAGTCCTTTTTTGGGGCATTTATAGTGCAGCATGCCCAATAGTGACTCTGTGGCCCTCCATTGGAAATATTAATAGTACAATAGTTATCCTGAAATATATTAAACATTGCTTAACCTCTGTATCCTAGAGACTCCGCAGGTGCCACTAGGAATTTGTAAATTTTACTGCTGCTTATATACATAGTTTGTACACTGTGATATAGTTTCACAAAATGCTTGCTTCAGTAGGATGAGAAACTGAAGGGAATATGTTGAATTGAGATATTAAAGCACCGAACTAATTCATTTGATATGTTTTTCATTAGAGGTATTTTTCACATTAAAAAAACATTTTTAATCTTTTGGGTCTTTAATAAGATTTTATGAAAATAGGTCATGGATTTGCACATGAGTTATCCTATGTAAATAAAAATAAAATCAGCACTGCCAGAGGACAGGGCAGCATAGCCAATCTGGCAGTTACAGTGGGGCAAACAAGTATTTAGTCAGCCACCAATTGTGCAAGTTCTCCCACTTAAAAAGATGAGAGAGGCCTGT